AAAATCAATTTCAATTAAATCCAAATAATATTTTTATCCAATTTTATCATTATTAGTATTTTTATATTCACAAAAATTAATTTAAATTAAATTAAATCAAAAAAAATAAAATAGAAAAAATTATTTTGGGTGTTACAATATTCATACCACTTTTCACTTTCACGCATAAAAGGTAAAAAATAATAACTTTCCTTTCTTACCTGTTTATTGGTACTCCATTGGTCAATAGGGATGTCCCTCCCTATTCGTGAACTCAATATCCAATTTTACAATTAACTAGTTGTCCTCATACCTTGTCCAGTAATGGGTGCTAAATATTTCATCGCCTCGATACCTCGTCCGGTATGAGGATGAACCATATATTCCAAACTTTTCCAGTAAGGAACTTTCCAGCCCCATTCGATTGAGGTAACGTTCACGGTAGGGTTCCCTATATACCGAACTCATCCACCCTTTTCCTGGGTAACGAGCAAGTCTTTCACATACATATTTTTATCAATAAACAACCAACAAACGCATACTAATATATCATATCACATTTACAGATCAATTAAAGTACGTTCATACTGACAGTATATAATTAAAATAACTAGATAAATTGATAAGATCATTGAACTATAAATTAAGAACATGTATTATACAAAAATCAAATAAGTAGAATAGTATAGGAAAATAAACAGGAAATCAAGACAATTGCGAACTAATCGGTTCAGTCTCCATTAGTAACCTATAATTATCGGAATCGAATTTCGAGCGGGTAGGAAAAATTTTTACTTTTTTTGGCGATCAGCAGTGGCTCCAGTGCGGCGGCGATCCGTGGTCGATGGTCGGCCTCCTTCTCCAGTGCTTGGTTCTTCTTCTTCAGCGGGGTTTGGCGGCTAGGGTTTAGGTTTCCGTGTGACATGAAGTATTTATACCCATCCTGCATCGATCTGGGTCATTCATCGTGATTCATCTTGTCTGTTTGATCGTGCTTAAGGAGAAAACGAATTTGAGCCATCCATTGCGATTGATCTCGATCGTTCGATCGCGCGTAAGAGAAAAATAAATTCAGGTCATCTACGCGTACTAGATTAATCCTAGGTCGTCCGATCGCAGGGCACACGGATTGTCCACGTGGCACCGACGTCAGCGTGCCTTACCACGTGGTGTGCTTCGGTTCGTCGGGGCTGACCCCCCTGTTTCTAATTTTTCTTTAAAAAACGCCCCCTGAATTCAAATTTTCAGTTATTTTTTTCAAAATTACTTTCAATTACATTCTTTCTTTTTTTTTTTATTCAATAATTTAATAAAACTAAATAAAATATTGAAATTGATCTCGGGTCAAATTTTGGAGCCGGATATTACATATAATCTTAAATTTTTTTATTATTTTAGTTATTGATATTGTTATTACTAATAGAACTCATAAATTTAAAATATTATATTTGTTAAATAGAAAAAATCTAGATGTCTAGTTTTATAAATAAATAATTTTTTGTTTTGTTATTTATTTGTCACATATTGAGTCAAATTATTTTATATTAAAAATTGATAAAAGTATAACAAACAAAAAAGATATTGTTAGAGTATCTTTTATGAGAAAGATGGATAGATTTTTCTTCTCATTTTCATAATCTCAACGTAAGCATATTTTGTATTTTGTTAAAATTTAACATGTGAAATCTTTTTTTGTGAAAGATGGTATATTGTAAATAATTTTATTAACCATTAACAACAAAGAGATTTCAAATTAGACACACATTACATTCAGAAAATAATTTGTTCAAATATTTTAATTTTACCAATATATTTTTACAATTTTTTTCCAACTTTAAAATCGTTTTTGAAATAATTTTTACGCAGAATACTAAATTCTATTTTACTAATCTTCTCTTTTGTTTTAAATAATTAATGCTTCATCTTTTTCCTGCATTATTTGATTTAGTTATCATTTAAGAAAGTTGATAAAATATTAAATTTTGTTACCGTTCAAGATCAATCAAAATAATAAATTATTCTTATCGATTAAAAAAATTAAAATTTAAACATTTTAAAAATAAATGTAATTTTGGTTCATTATATTATGTATCTGATTGAATAAATATAGCAAAATGCTAGATTTAGGAATAATTACTTTGCACCGTCCAATAAAGACATGTCTTGAATTTGTAATGTATTATTTTGTCTTAATTGGTTATGCCTTAAGATGGAATTAGATTAAACCTTGGGATGGAGCAATATTATCTTTATATTCTAAGTCGCCACATAGTACGTGTGATTATTTTCTATTATTAAATGTTCAACCGTCCATCCATCGGGTTTTATCCAAACTTTGCAAAGGAGGTTTGGATGTACAATTTTTGAAAGTCACAACCACATTATATACATAATATATATATATATATATGTATATTGATGGAGATATTGAAATTTCCTTAAAGATGTGACTAATGCTAAATGGGACGAGTACACTTTTCTTATTGGTTAAGTACTCTTTATATTATTATTATTATTATTTTTTAATATCAAAATTAAATTTTTACTTAATTCGATCAAGAACAAAAAAAACAAAAAAAATTTTATGAGAAAAAAATATTGTAATCTTATTTAAATAAAATTAATCATTCAACACGATTCATAAATTATTAAGAAATTGACTTATTAAAAATTAAATATTAAAACAATATATTATTAATTTTTATGAAAAATGTGAAAACTTGTACATATTATTAATTATAAGATTTTATTATTATTTCAACAATATATTTAATTCGGTTATGATTTGAATGATTTAATTAATTATTGATGTCAGTATGATTAGTTCCATTATGAGCTGTTTTGTGACAGATATTTTAATCAAACTATATGAATTAATAGAATCTTATACTAAGAGTTGGAAGAATGAAAAATGAGAGAATACAATAGAAGATGCAGTCTCACTCTACCAACTGGGCTTACGATTAATTCATGAGAATCTAAGAGAAAAAGAAGAAAAGATTAATACGGTTTTAGCATTTAGTTAATTTTCGTTTAATGTGTATTAATATTAATTTGTCCAATCCAAAGTAGGGAGTGAATAAAGACAAAAAGTTTTGCAACCCGCGTTAGAAAATAAATAATGAAGTGGAGTATCATAATCCTTAATTTTAAAATTAATTAATTAGTTTGATGAATTTTTTTTTTTTTTGTAAAAAATTAAAAATCAGTAAATGTAAACGCAGCAGCGGGACACGGGACACGTGGGTGACAAAGCAGGTTATCGTATAACGTCATCGTATAACGTCAGCAAAACCCGATCTTTACTCCATAGTTGTGGTGATTTGAGTGAGCAATTACACGGAAGATAGTGAGAAGATTCTTCTTCTTCTTTTCTTTTTTTTTTTTTTTTTTTTTTTTATTTGAAATAACAAAATATTAATTTTGAAATATTATTTTATGTATTTACTTTTCGCTTCACTGTTTAGTCTCCAAGACAATCAAAATTGAAAGAAAAGGGCTGGGTTTGAATTAGTCAGCAATTTGACTTTTCTCACTCTGTTTTATTTTTATTTTTATTTTCGCTTATATGTATTTATATAAAATATCAAGTAGCCAATAATAATTCAGTGCCAAAAAAAAAAACAACTCTTCTTTTCCTCCTCATTTCTCTTCAAAATCCTCCTCGCTTCCCCATTTCCTCTTCACATTCTCCTCTTTGTTTCCTTCCATTTGCGGCTTCTGCATTTATAAGTTAATCACTCCCTCTCATCCTCACCCATCTACTTTCTCCGCATAGACAACTGATTTTCCTCAAAACCCACTTCCAGATTCTACCTAGTGTTCTGATTTTAGTTTTCTTTAACCCAAATTGTATGTTTCTTCTTCATCTTCTTCGTCTAGCTCCTGGCGGTACAGATTATAACATGATCTAGTAATCGCTCCTTAAACTACTTTCGAATCTATTCATCTTCTGGAAGCTGGAAAATAGAAATTCGGTTGGGTTTTTCTTCCTGGTTGGTGCATTAGATTGAATGGAGAAGGGCATGGAAATGGAGCAGAGAAGCCTTGTTAATGAGTTGAAACAAGGGAAAGAGCTGGCAAAGCAACTAAGGAATCATCTAAACCCTTCTTCATCCGAAGAGACACGCCAATTCTTAGTTGAGAAAATACTTTCTTCTTACGAAAAAGCACTTTCATTACTCAACTGGGCTCCTCTTGTCCTGGAAACTCAACCCCCTGCCGTTAATCCTACCTTAGGATCCCCACAAAGTTCCTTTGCCAATACTAGCCCTAGAAGCGACGGCTCCAATCTTGAATGGAAGGATCAATGCTCAAAAGGTGCTCATAAAAAGAGGTATAGTTTCTTGATTGACCATGACTTTTACTTGATTAACATATCAAGTTTTAGGCTTGATCTGATTATAGTTTTGGGTTTTTTCTTTATAGGAAGACAAGTCCGAGATGGACAGAACAAGTGAAGGTTTGTTTGGGAGTAGGAGCAGAAGATGGTTATTGCTGGAGAAAATATGGACAGAAGGATATTCTTGGATCAAATTTTCCAAGGTGAGAATAAGCTTTCATTATAATTTACCAGAGTTGATCAGAATTTGTAGGACCAACCTATCCATGGGTTTTATGGCACACAGTAGTGCCTTTATGGGTCTTAATTCTAGTTTGTCAATCATGTCGGGCATGTAAACATACACCATAACTTTTCAAATATATCAGCAAATACCAATATATATATATATATATATATATGTATAGTGCATGAAACAGGAGTTTTATAAAAGAAAACAAAGGACAAGTTGATCTTATCCGAAATATCACGCCACGAGTTGGTGCTCCAAATAGTTTAAATAGCGTTCTAATTTTTTTTTTTAAATGATTTTATACATCCATTTAAGGGATTGTGTCAAAAAATTGAGTCCAATTAAGAGGTATATATCATCAAATTTTCATCAAGCTTGATAGTTGATTATTATGACTTGGTCATGAGTAAATTAGCTTAATTATTTGTCTTAACTGGAAAATGAACCGAACATAGCAAATCAAAAATAGTTTTCCAAGGACCACATGTGCGACATGGTGTCCGGATTCAATTATTGATACTGAGCATGAATCCTCCTCCTTTTTTTTTTTTTTGCAAAAAAGAACAAGAGCTATAAGGGAACATGCATTGTTTTATTGTTTTGGATGTTAGTATTAGTGTTTCATAAGAAGAATTCTGACGTGAATCACATGTTTTTCTTTTCTCACTTTTATCTAACAATTGATGTTGTTTTAATGCACCACAGAGGATATTATCGATGTACACATCGCCACACCGAAGGTTGTTTAGCCACAAAGCAAGTTCAAAGATCAGATAGTGATCCTACAGTCTTTGAGGTGACCTATCGAGGAAGACATACATGTAATACCCGATCCTCTAATTTAACTATGGCAACTACAAATCAAGTTTCAAAAGAGAATAAAGATAATCGTCAAGAACAACAACAACTCCTCCAACAACAAGAGTTGTCCTTCAATTTTGGTTCAAATTTTAAAGTGAAGACTGAGGACTTGGACATGAGGGACGAAATTTTTCCATCATTTTCTTTCCATGTTGAATCCGAGAACGTGAACAATAATGATATTTTCTGGGAAAGCAATTTCATGGAAAGTTTTTCTTCAACTTTCTTACCTCCCACCACATCTGAATCTAACCATTTCTCAGCTTCGCCATGCCATATGACCAATTATAGACTAGGACAAATTGTGCAATCTTCAGAATCTGATCTCACAGCTGAAATCATCTCAGCACCAACTTCAGTCACCAATTCACCCATGGAGGATTTTGGTCTTTCTTCTCTTGATATGGAATTCCCATTTGACAATGTGCATGAGATTTTTTCCTGTCATGGGGGTGAAAGGAATTGAAGAGGGTTAGGAATCCATACCAAGTAAAGTAGCATTTTGTCAGCTCGTTGAAAAATGATCATGACTCATGAAAGTATCGAAAATTCATATATAGCTTTATGGATTTCTCCAACACTACTGGCGTAAATTTTTTTTTTTCTTTCGGTAGGTAGTTTACAATTCTTTTTCTTTTCCTTTTTCTTGCCCTTTCATTGTATAATTCTTTTAGGAAAATGAGCTAAATTGCATGCGTTTTTAATTTTTGTTCATAATTGTTGAAGAAAGAAATAAAAATTAAACTTTTTCTTGTTATTTGTGTAAGAAAAATTCCAAAATAAACAATTAGAATTTGTTTGGAGCAAGTTAAAAAAATTTAGAGAGTTTATTTTGTAATATATATATTCATGATTTAAATTAACTTAATTTTTTTCATAAAATATTTATTCATAAGCAAACTCTATTTTCTTGCCCATTATAACAATAAATTTAGTGATTTCATATTTTAAACTAAAATATTATAGCATGCAAAGAAGTGTATGTATAATATAGTAAAATATAATATAGGATTTCATTTTTTATTAAATTTTTTTATTTACCATTAATATATAACCTTATTATAACACAACATAATATACGATATTGATGAACTAAAATCGTTTACAGTAATTTAACAGGTAGTGTTAAAAGATATCAAGCCTGAGCCCGCATGAGAGGTCAGTCGACCTA